CGACCATTTAGCCCCAGCCATACAAGCCGTTCAAGTTCTGCAAGCGCGAAAACGTGAGGATGATATTCCGGATGTCTGCGAAATGGCTCCGAACCTGACGAGTGGTCAACTCCTCAAAATTTGTCAGATGTACACTCCTCTTGAGGGATATGAAGAGTCGTTCTCTCCGAAATTCATAAGCAAATTGCAAGAGTATATCCGGAAAACGTATCCTAAAGACAATTCGAAGGATTACTTGATCGATACGAAGGCTCGCTTCCCTGTGCGCTTCCAGTATATTCCAAGTGACGTACAACTCGAGACAGTGACTGTTCCTGAAGTTCTTAATCTACACATGTTGAAACGAATATGAGCAGCCGAATGCCTCCATAAACCTAGGATGATTTCGGGAAGAGCTATTCTGTGGCGGGATCAGTTCGGCCGATGGAAATGGCCCGATTCTCGCATTGGCGTCTGAATTAAAACGCGGCCTTCTCATGGAAGGGAAATTTAATTCATGATCACTTTCTTTGCGCGCATCTAGATCAGAAGTCGAGTCGGGTCTTGAGGCCGAGGAGAGCTCGGGGGATGAGCCGAGATGTCGGGGAACCTCAATGTGGACAGCCATCGGAAAATTGTGCCATGAAATCGCTCCCTCCCGTCGAGCTCTGAAGCTAATTTATTTGATGTCGAGAAACGACTGAAGTCTTGTGCGGCCCAGGACTTCTGTTTTTCGCGAAGCACTTGGATCCACATTCCTAGCCAAGATTTCATTGAGCAATGAAATACGCCTATTTCTATCGAGATAGGCGGATGAGAGCGTATACTAGCTCATGCAGTCAACATTTTCATTAGGTAGTGACGTCGTATAGCCCCGTGGCGATTCCCGAGCGGTAGCTTTCAGGAGGTTGACAGGCGTGAATCTTGAAACGAAAACTTGTGCACCTCACGGAACACAGGAGTGATAGGAGGGGGAACAATGTGATTTTAATATTTGAGATACTTAATATTTATTGAATCGTGATCGGATGTCGACCGCTGTCTATCTAGAGGGAAGTGCCAGTACTCTATCTGATCTCCCCATTGGATCAATCCTCGATTCACGGTCATGGGTCGTTCTCGATCCAGCTCATTCGAGGTTTCCGTAGACAGCGGGAATGACGTGGAGGTCGCGAGGAGATCGATCGCCGTATGTGTGTGCCTTTGTTCTGATGCTTAGGATAACTTAATTATCAAATCACAGCACAATTTCCTGCGATGTGGCTATAATATAGTGAGAAGCGCTTATTGAGTTTATGCCTGAGAAGCTTATCATGGAACCCGTAATGTTGATGAATAAAAGAATTTCCGTTGGACACCGGCGTGAATAGTTATATGGGACCGACCGCGCTAGACCCAGGTCGCGGGGGTCCAACCCGCGGTATGACAGTCGCCAGGCAATCGTTTACAAAGTCATAGTCTAGAATCTAGATCAATTAGACTCTAGATCATAGCTCCGACTCCAGAGGAGGCTCTCGTCAGCTGCACTGCCCGTGGTCGTTCCTTGTCGATCGGCCATAGCGAACGTTTATCTCCGATGCCCAGGTCCGCTGTCCTGTGCATTTTCAATATTCTAAGAGCCTATATGTCGTAGCAACTCACGTTCCTGGGCTTCTAGAAGTAGCGACTAAGACGATTGAGTCCGAAGGTTTCGAGAAAGTGGAATCCCAGACATGACGGGTCTCCTCGATCCATCGCTGAATTCTAACGAGCGCTAATGCGGAACGTTGACTCTCGATGGGACCAGCGATGACGGGATGATTCACGGGCACCACGAGAACCCAGGAAGACTTCTGACGCTCCAGGTGACTCGGTGAAAGGATCACGGATCACGGCACGAATTCCTCCCAACAGGGGAGTGCGAGGGGCTTCGGTATTTGCGTCAGGTCAAAAGTTCTCTTGTCTGACAAAGATGAGACTCTGTCCAGAGGTGGAGAGCTCAGACTGGATAAGGGCTGAAAAATTTTGAGATTCTAGAAAGATTTAAGGCATGAAAAGGCTGCCCCTCCTAGCTATTTGAAGAGCGGGTCGGACTGACAGAGTATCCGTGAGGAGACGATGAGGAACAGCGGGACATCGGCGCAAATCAACACCGAAATCTTCTTCCAGGGAGCCAAAAGCAGAACAAAATGACGGTCGGTTCGCAATTCCGGCAGTCGCCGAATCTCCTGATGGAAACTCTCAACGCGACCACACCCCACTACGTGCGGTGCATCAAGCCGAACGATGACAAGGCCGCGTTCGTCTTCAATCCTCATCGAGCAACTCAGCAATTGAGAGCTTGCGGATTTCTTGAGACGGTTCGCATCAGTGCGGCAGGATCTCCTGCTGAAGGATCCGGACAAATTCCAATTCCGGAAAACGAAAATATTCTTCCGAGCGGGCCAAGTCGCCTACATGGAGAAGCTCCGAGGCGACAAACTCAACCGAGCTGCCATAACCATCCAGAAGGTCGTCGAGGGATTCGTGTAGCGCAGGCGATATTTGCGGCAAATTAAGGCGTCGCGGGGAATTCAACGATACGGGAGAGGCCTCCTCGCGCGGCGGAAGGCCAGACATCTTCGAGAAACCGCTGCGGCCATCAAAATTCAGAAGGCTGTCAGAGGATTCGTTGCACGTCGCAAGTACCAAAAGATGAGGCAACTGTCTCTTCGACTCCAGTGTTTCGCCCGAGGATACTTGGCTCGGCAGCGCTATCTGGCATTGCGGCAAAACAAGGCAGCCGTCGTCATTCAGAAATTCGCGTGGGGCTTCCTCGAACGGGGACGCTATGCCAGAACTATGCGCAAGATTATTTTGTGTCAGTCGGCAGTCCGGAGGTTCTTGGCCAAGAAACTCCGGAAACGCATGAAGGAAGAAGAAAAGAAGGCAGAACACTGGAAAACGCAGTACAAAGGACTCGAGAACAAGATTATAAGCCAAAAACAAGAAATGATAGATCTCACGAGAGCCAGGAGCGAAGCCCAGAACAAAGTCATGGTCATCGAAACTCAGATGAAAGAGAAGGTTCGACCACTCGAGGAGCTCCTCAAAGTAGCCAACGACAGGAATAAGGACTACGAGGAGCGAATCAATGCACTTGACGAAGCTTTAGAAGGGTCGAGGAAAGGAGGAATGGACGCGAACGACGAGATTCAGGTGAGTGTTCCGGTGAGAGTTGTGCGTTCTCGGACCTCCGTGTCACATACGAGTCGTCGTATGGTGTAAAAGAGGGCTCGAATCTTACTCAAAGCATACTCCCGAATCCATACATATATTTCTATACAGTGTCCAACAATAAATGTCGCGCATCGGGGACGGTCGCGTGAGGGAGAGGGGAGAGAGGGAGAAAAAGATAACAATCATTCACTCGGAAAATCAATTCGGCCATGATCGAGAACAAGCTCGCAAGCGAAAAGAGACTCCTGGTCAAGGAGCTGGAAGAGCTCAGAACAGACTATCAACGGTGAGATGTTGTTTTTCCGCTCCAAGACATACCTAGCAGAAAAAACCCACCGATCCTTATTGGAGTCGCCGAAGAAAAACCGATTTTCAATCTGCAGACTACACGAGGAGAGGGATCAAATCGTATCGAAAATATACGGCGATCCTGGATCGAGTCCGTCGAACACGCTTCGAGTCCATCATCATAAACGAACGTCAAGCGATATCAGTGCGATTAGCGATCAAGGAAGAGACGAAGACGATAATGGTTACGGCACTGTCAGTCGGAAGGGTTCGAGGAGGTGAGGATCACTGTCTGCTCCACACGTGCGGGATTGATTCAGCTGATCTCAACGAGATAGCACGGGCATTGAAATGTTTATTCCATCTGCAGGGAAGACATAACGACGATCCTGAAGTTCGAACAGCGAGTCAAAGATCTCGAGGCCCAGAAAGAAGAGCTCCAGAAGCAGCTTGAACTCAATCAGCAGCTGGGGAAACCCTCTACCAAAGACATGTTGGAGTACGTCTCTCCAACAGTTCGAATATGGACGATATGACGTGGAACACGGTTTAATCCGCATATATATTTCAGAATCAACGACCTCCTCAGAGAGAATGCGGAGCTCAAACCATCGCTGAAGAGTATGTCTGTGGCGGAGGGCGATGATAACTACCGTACTGTGGCGACAGAGAAACCGAAACAACTCTTGGACGAACTCTGGGCAAAGCTGGGTAAGAGAAAAGAAGAGATCCGCGGCCGCTCTGGCCGGAGAAGACCGACCGATGACGCATATACCTGACCGTGAGTCAACCCGGCTTCGAAGCCGTTGGCTAGACCCGAAATCCAGGAAGTTTCCTAAGCGTTGGCCCACAGTCATATTAGTCATTCCTCAACTCACGCTTGGGGGAAAAAATTTCAGATGAGCTACATGGGGAAATTTATATGGCGTTTGAGACGCAGAAACTTATGCTGAACCAGACGGAAAACGAACTCCGAGCGACCAAAATGTCTGCCCACGAAAACGAGCTCGGTCTGAAGGGAGAAATCCGCCAGCTCCGCGAGCACAACAACCAATTCCAACAGATAATCTCCAGTGATATGAGCCCATCCGAGAAATCCACGACTTTTCTCCAAGGGGAGATAGCCAGACTATCGAGGGAGAATGTCGACCTGAGGGAGAAGTATGAGAGAGCGATTGAGCAAGTTCGTCGACTGAAGCGACAAAGCAAAAGCGTCCAGCTCAGTCACACAGATTATGCGGACTCGGTAAGCGATTCCCGGAGTCAGAATCGATCTCGTGCGAGCTCCTCATTCGACATCCTAATCGCGACTACAGCGTGAGAACAAGCTAAACGTCGATAATATTTTTCAGATGCCCATGATCCGCCACAAGACAGAGACGTCCGG